TCCGGCCCTGCCCCCTGCCAGAGCCCCGAGTCAGTTTCCCTTCCCCCCATCCCCCGTGGCTGAAAGAGTCCCTGCTGCCTTCAGGGGAGGGGGCGCCTCGGGATGGATCATGGGCGGGGCCACAGCCTGGGTTAGGGGAGGCTTAGCCTCCCCGGGTCTATGACACCCGCTGCCCATGGAGCACAGAAGCATTTCATTACCCAGTGTCGCGGTCTCCTCCCTGAAAGCAGGTTAATGGCAGGGAGGTGCAGTGGAGAGGGCACAAGACTGGGGCTTAGGAAACCTTGGTTCTTGCCACTTGACTCACTGTGTGACCGTAGGCAAGTCACTGCCCCTTTCCATGCCTCAGTTTCCCCATCTGTAAAACCCAGGCTAGCTAGTGGTCCCAATCTCCCTCTGCAATGAGTTTTGATGTGTGTGGATGAAAAGCGCTTGGTATTATTATCTCCAAAATTTTAGGGGCTTTTACTGATGGTCAGCTCTGGGGTGACATTGGGAGGCCGAGGCCACCACCTCTCTCTTATGCCTCTAGAGGTTCTGATACACTGCCCGTGGCTGGGAGATCCCAGTGATGCCCTGTCGTAGAGACCCACGGTGACCGATCAAAAGAGGGGTGGGAATGGGAGGTGGGGGGCGTGTGGTCCCTTGGGTGGTCAGCTAACATCACCAGGACTCTGCCAGGGCTGGGCAGAAGGGAATTCTACTCTCACCTCCTCCTCTTCTTCTGGCTGGCAAGGGCTGTTCTCCCTCCGCACCCACCTGGCTGGGGCTAATGTTGATTCCAGCCTGTGGCTTCAAAACTGAGCTGAATGAAGCAACCAGTTGAGGGACCAACCAAACCACTTGCTAAATGGACGTGGGCCTTGCAATGAAGGTAGAGCCAGATCATGCTCTTGTCCGTTGGAGGTTAGTTTTGGGTGATTTAGAGACGCTTGCTTTAAGGGAGGACTCTGGGACACGTTTCACTCTGTAAGGCAGATACCGCAGTATCCGGCATCAGGGGATTCGGCTCTGGGCTGCCAAGGGTGCCCGAGCATGTCCTAAAAATTGCTTCTGAGTGCGGCTCAATTTGAAACGTGTTTAAAATTCTTGAATGGCATGTTGATCCGCACCTGTGATCAGGTACCTGCTACCATCCTGAGCCGCCTGTACGGAGGAGAGACACTCTTAAATTTGCACTGGTGTCAGAGCATTGATGCAACTGTGCGGATGTGGGATAACTACCCCCAGTGCAAAAGCCCAGGAAAGATAGATACAGGCACAAGTGTGTTCCAGGATAAGTCACTCTGGTGCAAGCCTCATATTACCCTGGTGCGTCACATCTGCGCTGGGGGTTTATACTGCCCTTCAGAGAACCCCAAGACCGACAGGGCTGTACACTGTGGAACACTGGCGGTGCCTTCAAATCAGACAGCCACGCTCTGCCTTTCCAGTTCTCTCCCCTCTCCTGCTCTCCGGGCATGCCCAACAAAGAAGTTTGTGTTCATTAGTAGGTTTGGAGGATAAAAAAACATTTTTGTAAGTTTCAGGCTCCTGGTGTTTTGGAAAAGCTTCACAGGGTGGCTTTCGGTTCCTGCTGCTGGCGGTGATTGAATAGTGCCTGGTAATCAGGACTCCTGGGTTCTACTTCTGGCTCTGCCTCTGAGTCAGAGCGCGACTTTGAAAAAGACCTCTGTGACTCAGGTCTTATCTGCATGAGAAAGCTGCACCCATCTAACTTAAATCTGATGTAGTTTGACCGGTGCAAAGCCTTATTTAGGTTAAGTCTGGCTTGTGTCAGTAAGGAGCTGACTGAAGCTACGATGGTACAAGCGACTCTTAAGCTGAAATAAGTCCGTGCGGGGTTTTCAGTCAATTTGACTAAACTGATTTACGAAGACACCTTTAGTTCAGCTGTTGCTAATTTGTGTGTAGGTCAAGCCTCAGTTTCTACATCAGTAAAATGGGGACAATACACCTGGTACCTAACCTCCCCAGGCTCTCTGTTTGCAGAAGGCTTTGAGACCCTTGGATAAACACTCTCGATGTAGGCACAAAGTGTTCTACTTTCTCTAGATCCCTAGATCCTGCTGGTGGGAGAGTTTACTCCGCTGTCAACATTTCCAGGACTTAAGGGCCAGTGGAATCTCAGCAAGGGCCCTGCCTTTTAGAAGGGGAAGCATCTTCCCTCTTAGGGTACCTCTACAATGCAGTAAAAGTCCTGCAGCATGGCCGTGGCTGGCCCAGTCCAGCTGACTCTCTGGCTCTGCGGGGCTCTTGCTAAAAAGTCCGGTGTAGACGTTCAGGCTTGGGCTGGCGCCCAGAGGGGGAAACAGTCGGTTGATCCAGGCTCCGAGAGTCGGTGCTGCGGGATTTTTATTGCAGGGTAGACGTACCCTTAGCTGCACCAGCATAGACGTGTAGAAATGAGGGGCTGGAAGGGACCTGGCAAAGCCTTCAAGCCCTCTGGAAAGCATGGGGTTGATGGGGGGCCGGGGGGGAGAGGGGGGGGGGGGGGGGGGGGGGAAAAGGGAAGAGCCAGGACCATTTGCCAGCTGGTCTGCCCTCCCCACTGGAGCTGCTGTCAATGGGGTGAATGCCATGAGGCCCTTGGGTCAAAATCCTGGAGTCTTCCCCTCCTACAGGGCGATTTCCATAGATTGTCCCTGTAAAGAGAGAGCCTCCTCCCTCCCTCCCGCACAGGATGGGTGGCTTTTCCAGGCTCCAGGAATGCAGAAACTCCTTTGTTGTGCAGGGGGTTTGTTTGCCTGGAGTTAGCGTGGAGGCAGTCCTGGATCAGCTTATATGGCCCCAGTCTGGGCTGTATTGACACTTATGGCGCTGGCCGGTTACCGTCCCTAGACATAGCCCTGGGGTTGCAGGAAGCCTTTTTTGATGCTTCTGTCAAGCGTGTCCACTCTCCCTCAGCGGAGGGGGGTGTGTGAGCAGGGTTCTAATGATGTTCTCAATCTGTATTTTCAGTTACTGGGTTTTGTTCGTTTCCCACTGGACTCGTATTGTCCTCTAGGAGCAAATGGGCCTCAGATACCCCCTGCACAGGCCATGCCAAATCTGAGCCACACCAGTACCTCATTGAGCCACAGGCGGGGCGAGCGAGTGCGCCCTAGGGCTGCTTGTGTCCCAGTGGGCTGCCCTTGTCTGGATTCCACCCCTTTGTTCACCCCCCTCCCGGGGCTAGCTCCAACCATGCGTGCGTTTGAGCCGATCATCTCCTCTGCTTCCTGAGAGCAAAGTCACGCTATTGGCATCCTGCGGGGCCTTCTTTCGTGACGGTATCTCTGCTAGCAAGGGCCTTGGGGGCAAAGAGGGACAGTCCCTTCCTGGCCCTTAATCTCCTTGGTTAAAGATCAGGAACCAGGTTCCCCTTGGGCACCTAGCGCTGCAGGGCGCTGCAGCCGGAAAGCATGCCCTTGGCTTGTGGTACATGGGGCTGGCATGCTGGGGCCTGCCAGGGAATCCTTAACTCGACCCCGTCCTGCTTCCGCTGCCAGGTGCACAGACAGCAGGGGACGAGCATTTGTCCTGCTGCTTTGCTCCGGACAGGGCCCACGTGATGAAGGCAGCCTTGGCCAAACCCTAACGCAGAGCCGGGGGGGCCTTGGGTACTCTCCCTCGCCCCTCTCCACTGCCCTTCCTCGTGCTAGCTCAGTGGGCACTGAGTGTGTGTGTGTGTGTGTGTGTGTGTGTGTGTGTGTATTTTTAAAGGGTAAGGGATCCTCTGTGGGTACAAATCTGGGCTAACCAATAAGGGCATTCGAGGGAGGTTTAAAACCATCTACTCTCCCCTCCTTAGTCATCAGCTGACCTCCTATAAGTAGGGCCCCACTTCATGCGCAATATTGTGGTTCCCGCAATATTTGGCTTCCACCGCAGTTTTGCTTTTAACTTGCTTATTTTGCACAGTCCACAGTTTTGCACACATTTTGCGTATGCAATTGGTACTGCACTAACACGCAGTGCCTGTAAAAGGTAAATGGCTAAAATGACCCGACTCGATTTCTACAGCAGTTAAGACTTTTAGTCTTCTGAATTTTGTATTGTACCAGTCACTTTTTTTTTTAACGACTGTAATATAGTTGCAGCAAAATGTCTGGTTATCAAAAAAAAATTCGCCGGCATACCAATACTTGTGTGTTTTATATCCTTCCAGCAAATTTTTCTTAAATGAATAAGTCTTCTCTGACTTACCGCTATGAATAACGGTCCATTATTACTTTTCCATGATTTTCCACGTCTTGTCCGCAACTCAGCTGCAAGTATTTGAAGATCACCCTGCAATTCAACTAGGGCCTTACCTACAAGGACATGTCTACACTGGCGCTGGAAATTATCTCTCCAGTTCCAGTGTAGACATAACCCTAAGGGAAGGATCCCGTGCTTGTCTATCCAGGAACTTGTGTGCTATAACTGAGGGCCAGCTCCTGTTGCTCGCCAAAGCATGTCGGCTAGATGCCAGCGATGCTCTTAGCCTTGCAAATGCTCTAAAGGAGAGCCAACTACTTCTGCTCTGGTCCCTTCCCTCAGGATCAGCCCTGCAGGGGTTGCTGGGCACAGAAGGATGCGTGGGGACTGGAGGGAATCCCTTTAAAAGAAAACTTCCCTGGAGAGAGACCCACCTAGCAGGGAAGCCGGCCAAGGAGGGCAGCGCCAATAGCCTTTAGAAATATCTGGCATGAACTTTGTGTGTCATGCTACTATCCAGGCCTGGCATCACAATGCCCCCTCCATTCTTCCGTTTGACTCCTAACCCGCATCGAACCCTCGTGTGTGTTTGTCCCCTCTTGCCTGGCTGCATGTTCCCCTGGTCCCCCAACTCCCGCACCCCCACCCACCAAGAGGCAATAGCAGCATGACGCTAAACAAAACACGAGGGAGGGGACTTTAAACAGAAACTAAACCAAGCTTCATCTCCCAGTTTAAAGTCAACTGTTCTCCAAGCAGCATCTTAATGGTATTTTTTGTTTTGTTTTGTGTTTTTTGTTTTGTTTTTGTTTTGTTAGCAACCCAACTACTGGAGCTTTAAGGTCAGTATTTCTGAATTTATTTTTTTCCCACGCTTCTGTTTAAAGTGCATGCGCTTTTTCACCCTTTCTCCATCTCTGTGTGCGCAAGTGGGGGTTGGGAGTCAGGGATCTCTCATCAGGGTTGCAGCGTTCAGCTAGTGTGATTCAGGAGCGGTTGACGCTCCTGAGAAGGATACAGCTGGTATTGCCAGGTTCTGCAGGATGGGCTCTTGCGTGTCTGAGTCCCCTTCGGCTCTCCGTTACACCCCCTTAAATCCACAGTCAAAGCACTGCAATCAGTGTCTGCTCTGGGCTTACACCCGGGTAGCAGAGGGCAGAATCCTGGCTCCTTGGCTCTGGGAAAAGAGCAGTGAGTGGAAACAGAGGTTCAGGCCATTCCAGGAATCCAGTTCAAATTCTTCACCCAGGTGCTAGGTCAAGGTCCTAGATGGGCAGAGGATAATTCTGACCCTCAGCCTGTTCCTAGTCAATCCACAGACTGGAGGATTCCAAATACAATCCCTCCCGCCCCAATCTGCTTGTCACCATTTTCACCACTCCCCACCACCACGTGCAGCCTTCTGAGCGTCGATCTGCACTCGGCTTGCACGATTACGTCGCACCGATCGGCTTCACTTTTTGCTGCTTGTGCACAAGCATATTGTGTTTGGGGTTCCAGCAGGGTGGGGGAAGGGAGACCTTTTTAAATCCCCTCTCCCACCCCCAAATGATTTGTGTGTGGCTGGGGGTGGGGGGGCTCGAACCCATATCTGAGCCTGGGTTTACAGTGCAGTATAGACATACCTTGAATGAGCTGTTGAAGGGCCCTAGCCTCTGGCAGGGTTGAACCCATGTTACACAACTACCACCTGGTTTGTAACAGACTTGGAAAGAGAATAATAAAAGCAGCCCGGAAATACATTCGAGTTCGCAGCCAGGAAAACAGTCTCTTTGGATTCTGTGCTGCACTGTGGTGCCATGGGGGAGTTGTGTGATGCACAGTGTGAAGTGTCTGGTTGTGAGCTGCCACACCAGGGCATAGGCAAGGCTGCTCAGTCCGCCGGGAAGCCGGCAAGCCGGGTTAGGGTTTAGGATCTCGTCTGGTGGGTGTCAAAGCCCCTGATGTGACCAGTTCTAGGCGCTGTGGGATGGTGAATGTAGCATATTGGAACAGACCAGCCTAGGATCCTGCATCCTGCAGTGCCCTGTCCCTGATACTTCAGAGGAAGGCAATAATAATAATAATGCACCTGAGCAGGTGGGTGGTGCGGCACATGGGAGGGGAGAGACTAATTCCTTCCTGGCCCTTCCAGCAGCACAACCAATACCCTGAAGCATGAGATTTGAGTCCCCTTAGCGGAGATAACTAGGAACGTTGAGAGGCAACTTGGCCTAGTGGTTGAAGCAAGGCTCTGGGCATCAACTAGCTTGCTTGGGTGTGGCTTGTGTCACGGCTCCATGCCTCCGTTTCCACCTCGGTAAAGCAGGGAGAACACCCACCTCTCTTCTGCATGGTGCTTTGAGCTCCCCAGCTGGGGCTGTCTACGTAAAGCTGCCCATGGTGCTGTGTGAATGCTCGGTCTGGTGGTGGTTAGATCCTGAGCTGACTAGACTATTATCCGCTCCCTCCTTGCGTCTCCCCACCGGCTCCTCATCTCTTGCCACGTAACGTTCACACCCCTTATCCCGTGCTTGGGCTCTGCAGAGCTCTCGGAAACCTCCCCTTGCGGTGATTCATACAGTGACCTCTAAGGGAGCAGCAGGGGAGCCGCGCTGTCTGACTCCCACTTCGGCTGTCCTCATGAGCACTGCCTCGCCAGAGCTCCGGGGAAGAGAAGGGGCTCGGTGTCGGTGTCTTGCCTATAGCTGGGGACGTACCGCCAGTGTGACTGAGCTAGGCTAGGGATGGGCAGTGCTGTTGCTCTGGGTCTTTGCCTGAGGCCGATCAGGCTTTTCTCCCTCTCTTGAAATCGCTGCTCCCCCACATCCCAGGGGTCTTATGGGCTGGTGCCGAACAGGGGGGCCAGGTGGAACATGAGCGGCAGCGGGGACGTGATGTGGGGTGGAAACTCTTCAAGGTCGTTCAGACCCTTCTTCCCAATGGAGCTCGGAAAACCGTGGACTTGCCCTAGTGTGCACTGGTGCCGCAGCCCTCTCTGTAAACCTCCCAGGCAAGGAAACGGATGACGCCGGCGTTAAGGGCGCAGTAGGAAGCCTGAGGAACAGGCAGCGACAGGAGATCCCACCTCCCATAGACCAGCTCTGCCTCCAGGCTTTGCCCACAGCTTCTGGGTCTCCAACCAGCCTGGAGTTCCAGCTCTCGGCTGGTCGCTCAAGGCCGGTTTGGTTAAGGCCGTTTGGAGCAGAAGGAGGGACTATTTCGAGGTTGGGAATGTTGTTTGCTCCAATCACGGAGCAATAGAAATGGTGATATTCCCTATTCCCCTCTGAGGAGTGACTTCTGATTCTTACCCTCCGCAGGAGAGGAAGGGGCAGGTTGCTGCTCGGGCACTGGACTGGGAGTTCTGAGATCTGGGTCCGGTTCCAGACTCAGCAGATGGCGTAGGGTGAGTCACTCCAGCTCCCTGTGTCTGCTTCCTCATCTGTAAAATGAGGCTAATGATACATGCTCTGCGGCAGGGGGTTAACTCCTGATGGTCTGTAAAGGACTCTGGCATCCTTGGACCCAGGGCAAAGTCTTTATTCTTTATTGTATTGCTCTGGGCATGGTCACCCCCTAAACCGCAAACCCGGCATCCCAACAAGCCCCTTCTGGCAGGGCCGAGGACCCTGGCTTTCCCACTCCTCCCTGGCAGCGCCCAGGCCAGCCTTCGACCCGTTGTTGTGCAGTGCAAAGTTGGCCCGTTTCACAGAATCTTTCCTCCCACCACCTTGCCCGATGAACTGTGTTGGCTGAGCGAAGCCGCGGCAGCTTGCCAAGGTCAGCGACGTTGCCGGGAGGTCTCGGTGCACCCTCTCAGCATGCGTGTGGCTTGGTCTGGCAGGGGCTGTGCAGTGGGAGGTGCCTTTTTCTGGAGGACACAGCCTGGGTCTTTGGGGCTGGTGGGTGACGTTCCCTCTCGGTTCTGGCTGGGAAGGAGAGATTGGTGGCATGGCCTAGCAGCGTCCCTGGCTGAATCTCCTAACGGAGGCTGTGACCCACACCACCTATGGGAAAGAGCATGAAGGGTTAAATCCCACTCTGCCATGCAAGGGACGGTCCCCAGCTATCTGACCCCACCACTCAGAGGGGCACAAGCAATGGGGGCTCAGCCAGGGGGGAGCTGCTCCGTCTGCCTAGAAAAGGACCTGCAAAAGCCGAGATCTGGCGTGCCCTAGACCCTCTGTCCCTAGCCTGTTGAAGGAGGAGGATGCAGTGGGGCAGGGGACTATCATGATGGGGGCTGTATAGGTGACTAGACAGACAAGGAGGCCCTTCTGCTGACATGCCCTCTCCTGCCCAGCATGGGGTCTGTGCCAAGGACCTGTCCCCCCCCATCCTAATGCTAGGCCGTGTAGAGTTGAGCCAGCCCCAGCTCATCACACGTATGACTCATCCCATCAGTCAGGCTGCCCATCAGTCAACCTCTCTCCACGGCTGTTGTCACGGAGCTTCTGGTCTCCTTGTCCCACTGCATATTTCAGAGTCCCTCATCCGGCCAGCCTGGCAACCAGCGACCTTTCGGTTACCTAGCAACCGCAGCCCAGGCAACGGGGATGGGGCGAGAAGCGACATCTGCCAGGGCCCTTAGCTCCCGTAATTGTCAAATAGTTTGGAGAGTTTGATCCTCTCGATGAACTTTCCCATCTCTCAGCCCAAGTCGCTCCGCAAGGGCCTGCTCCACCATCCTGCCCCTTCCCGGGCGTAGCTGGCAATGAGGCAGTCGGCGGGAGCTGAGAGCTCATCCCAGGATTGAGAACATGGCTAGTGTGAATGGAGATCCCACCCTTGGAGGACAGGGCATGAGCTTGGGGAAGCCCCCGCCCCCCTCCATCCATGCCCTGGGCTGCCAGGGGCACGGGGTGTCTCTTTCACATAGACTGTAGGAGAATTTGGCTGGTGTGAAAGTCAGAGCTGGCTAATGCTGCCTACATCCTGCTTAGCTCTAAACCAGCCTCTGTGCAGATCTACCAATGCACCTCCATCCTGCCCTGCTGCTCTTCCAGTCCTGAGCATCTCACGCACAGCTCTGCCAATGCCCATCAATCCTGGTCCACAGCACCCAGTGTTCATTGCTCTCCACAGACAATACTGCCCCTTTAGCCTTCTCCTGGAACTAGTCTGGGCAGAGACTGCTCTTAAAGTCAAATTGTGTTAGCGATGTGGACAAATACCTACTAAGGAGAGGGATGAGACCTCCTAAAACTCATGTCGCTTGTGGCCTGAACAGTGAGCAGAGAAAAGGCTCAGCACAGGTCCCTTTAGTCCTTCCAGGAAAACTCCCGTTGAGCCCCAGAACTTTTGGAAACTTCACATGAAGCAGAATAAAAGTTACTGAAACCTCCTATAGGCGTGAGGAGGAGGAGAGAGACAGTGTGCATTGCTGCCCTCTGCTGAGTGCAACTGGACTGTCTCAGCCCTGTGTCATGAGCGCTATACCGCTAACAGCAAATGGAGATTCTCCCTTAGCTTAAATGGCAGGGCCCTGTGCTTGCTGGAGCAGTTCTGTCCCACATTCCAGACGGCCACAGCCTGTAGCATAACGTCAGCTAGGCAGTCCTGTGGGGGCAGAGGTTTGTTCATGGATGGTAAGGGGGTGGGACTCCTGGAAGCTTTTCCCATCCCGCTGGGGACTTGAGGCGTTTGCCTAACCAATCCTATACACAGCAGTGATATTTACTCGGAGGAGACAGGCAAATGCCAAGCAGGTTTAGCTCCTGTAATCCTGCCCCTCCTGCTCCCGCCTGCAATAAATGTTCATTCTCATGCCCTCGTGCTGGCCTTTTGTCTCAGCTGTGCTGCCCAGGCCATTGGGGAGACAGGCTTTTATTGCAGGATATTTGGGGGGGGGGGTTAGTAT